GCCGATTCCTCTTGTTCCGCCAGCGAGGTGCCACGCCAGACGCGCCTACCTCCGTGCGACTTGTCCGATACCTCTCGGAACGGTAGCTCGTCCGAGACGCAAGACGACAAACTCGTTTTTCGTACCCACCATTCAAACCGCTTGCCACTCGCGATCTCGGCGAGCGTGCATCAATTACTCGCGAGACCTGATGCAATCTCATAACGAATAACCGCTCTTGTACATATTTTATATCAGGTTAAATTTAAAAGGTATTAATTCCAACGTGCAAAAAAGAGAGCAGTGTTGAAGTTACTTTTTTATTGTCAATACGCATTAACCGCCGAACAAATATTCATAGAAATATAGGTGCACACGTATAAATTATATATAAAATATATATATAATTTATATTATGCCTTTGTAATTTAGAAATCTGCATTTTACAAAGAATACTATCGAGAGAAGGCTTCAGATTCCTTTTGGACTCGATATGTCGCACGTTATCCCAATTAATCGTTTACGCGCTAGATCTAGAATCTATAAAAATTCTTTGTACCTGATTGCACAATTTATTCCTTTTCTTTATCGCGACTGTTTGCTTGCAGCTCTTGTGATATATTCCGCGTACTTGATATATTTTATCGCGGCCGATGAAGACACGCGAGTACCGCTAAAAAATGAGGTATACGCTCTACCAATTACTCCGGCGAACGTCCTCGTTCCGTCATGAGCATCGGCGACAAGGGTCCGCCGCTCGGCCGCCGTTCGCTCGCAGCATCCGACGACACGGCGCGTCCGATGCTATCCATTCAAACCGCCGCGGAGTGAAACGAAGGCAATCGAGCGCGTCCGCGGAACATACCGTGCGGCCTGCACGCACGTAAACGTCCCGGGTATCTCTCCACCGGGACGCCGTGCCGCCGTCCTCCGCCACCGGGGTAGGACGACCGGGGCCCCGTCGCCGCCCGTCACGACGCTCTTCCGCGGGCGGTGAGCTCGAAGCGGGCGAGAACAGAGCCGCAATTTGCGTAATTGCGATGCATCCTTCCCCTGCATCCGCGACAGGACGCCTCCCGCGGCCCTGGACTTCCCTTCTCCGCGTTCCTCGTCCCCTTGCAGCCTCTGCCTTCGTCTCGCCTGCCGTCTTCGTCCCCCCGTCCCTGCATTTTACGAGCGCTATAGATGGAAATTTCGCGGCCATTTCGAAGCCGTGCTCTTACCCTTATCCCTCGAGCCACCGCGGCACGACGGCAACGCCAATTAGTTGCATTCACGCCTCGCCCTCTCTTTCCCTCCGCGCCGGGCGCAGGTGCCAGGGGTGTGATTTCCGATGACGGTAATCGCGATGCCGATCGGAGACGATAGATGAAAAGGGGGAAGGACGAGCGGTATATGCGCGCATCGTCCACGCCTATTTACCAGGGCGCACCACCTGAAATCTGCATGATAATATTATAATTCACAGAGCGAGATATCTCCTCGCGATGATCCGGCCGCGGGGATGTCGGCGATGGATGAATGACGCGCGCGCTCAACGGAAACGCACGTTTCGCGATGCGGCATGGTATTCATTTTACTTACGGTGGATGCACCGCAATGAAGTAGTAATTCCGATAAGACGCGACGCGAAGTATAGCGCCTGTTTCTTGTAATTCGTATACGCGAGTTATTCGCGGCAAGTTGGAATTCTAACGAGGGTCTCGTCCATTTATCACGCTATTGAAAAGGGAGGGCGTGCTCTGACTAATTTCATTCAAGCTTCTACTGCGTCAGTTAAGAGATATTACATACTGTACTTTATAATTATTCTTAATCGTGTCATTTAAATAGCAATATATTTTATGGTAATAAATTTTCGTGATTTACGCGTCTCTCTCTCTCTCTCTCTTTCTCTCAACCTGATTCAAGTTCGCATAAATTCACATAACACGCGCGCGACATAGAATAGACTACGTAACTTTAAAACCCCTCCACGGACACGTTATCCCGTTTAGAGCGCAAATCGATCTTCGGAAAGCCGGTAATTACGCTATCAACCTAATCAAAATGCGCGCCTAAAGTATTCGGATTCGCGGACTAGCGGGGGATGCGTGTTGTACCGTCAAATTGGATGCACATATTTTACGACGTGCGCGCGAGTGATTTAATACCGGTGGAATATACCGGTAGTTAGGCACGAAATTGCGACAGGCCGCGTATCCCCCTCCTTCTTGATCAACATCGACGTGCAAAAAGTACGGCGGAAAAAGTGCTCGTTACATTCCGGCCGTGACGCGACACGCGAAGCCGTATTTAAGCTGGTGCCCAACGCGACGCATCCGTTCGCCATGTCTCGTATGTTTCCTTCGATGAGTTACGAAGACACTCGAGACGGAATGGTATCAATTACAAGCGTTCCATTCAAATCCCACTCAAAAAAATGTTTGAAAAATCAAGTTTTTATTAATTGTGACTAAATCTCCCGGCAATTATTACTATTCATCTTGAAGAAACTGAATCTAGTTGACACGATGATCTGTATGAAAAATATCAGAAATAAACGTGTCAAAACAAAGTGTCAACTTTATTAAAATTAGTAAACAGAAATGTTTACTAATGAATTCCAATATATTTCAAAGTTATCCAAATTTTCTGGCAGTTTAATTTCCTTTCTTTTAATTATCAAATGTCGCGATAAATTTCCTATTCCGCGAATTTTAATATCCTGGATATCTCTTCGTCATGCGTCTCGCGTGAAATGGCAGTTTCTTATTTCCTGAAATTCTCAATGTCCTGTCAATAAATATGTACGTACGTATTAACAAATATATATATATTTTCAAGCGAGCAACGTCGTCCTTTCGACGAATTTCGCTATTTGATGGATCCCTAAATTTTCTGATGTGTCAATAGGAGGCACGCCGTTCGTTTTGCGTGACTCGCGTGCGTACGCGCGAGCTCATCGCGAGCCACACGCGACTGCGGGAGTGGCTCGCGGGCGCGCCCTGTGCATCCCGGCGCCCGCCGCACCCCGCCCGAGATGCATGCATCTCCCTGTATCGGTGTGTCGGTGCACTCTCGGGACGCGGGAGATCGGCAAATCTAAGATCGTGCAACTGGTGTCCAGTGGCGTGTCCGCGGCCGGCTACACGTTGGCGAGCGGGAGCGAGCGAGACGAGGCGCGCGCCAGCCGGACGCGAGGAACGAAGAGTGAAGGATGAAGGAGCCTCCGGGGGAGGAAAGACGACGGTAAGGCCCCGAAGAAGAAGAAGGGGAGAGGTGGAATGCGCGCGGTTCTCGAAGGAGGAGCTGTCGGCGGTGAAAAATCACGCACCCCGCCACGGCCGGAGCGCAGCATCTGCTCTACATACCCTGGCTCTCAACCTACCTTACCTATGCGCTGCACCGTCGTCGCGGTCGTCGATCGACGACCTGTGAAAATCGCTCAATCGATGACCTCGAAGCGCGCGCCTTCGCACCCGTGGTGCGTGCGATAATCGATTCCCCGGTGCACGCTCTCCGCATGCTCCTCGAAATAATTGTGTCACGCGGGATAATTATGGCTTTCACAGATTATAACGCGCCGCTCTCTTTGCGGTACGTAGGTGCCTTTATAATAAATTTACTCCGTTCCCCAGCCTGCAAATCGGCTAAAAATGAAGAAACTTTTCCAGCAAGCCAAATACAAGGAGACACGTGCAACTATACTACGTAATATCCATAATAAATGTAAAATGAATTAATTCATATAATTCACAGACAATATATGAAATCAATCTACTTTATCGCGTATATACTTTATCATTCTACACAAAATCCAAGACATTATATTGCTGCCAAAATAATTTTTGTTAAACATCGATATGAGGGGAGGGGGATGGGGAATCTTTTGCAAATTTTTATTCGCGACTTACGTCACTCCACTTTGCTTAATGAATCGTTTCTTGCGTCCGTACATCCGATGGGTAATCGTAGCTATTTTTAAAGAGTCTCTCGCACGCGATCATCGGGGCTTCCGCGAAGGCACGGGAGTGCTCATCAATGAGAACCTCGAAGAATCGGAGTAGCAGAGCAAGATATACGTGTGCTGGCTGGGCTACCGGTCGGTCGGGTTGGGTCGCTGTTCTCCTGTGTTTCATCTCTCTCTTTTGCTCTCTTTTGCCCGCTCCTCTCCCGCTACCTTCCTCTTTTCACCTCCCGGCTTATCCCGCGCTCGCTCTCTCGCCCTTTCTACCCCGCGACCGCGTTCCTCTCTGTCTCCGCCGCGCTGCCGCTCACTCCCGTGAGTTGTTGTTCGGCTGTTTTATTACTTTTATAAATGCCGCCGCCACGATGCTACTACCACCACGTCTACCACTTGCCCGGTCGCGGATCGGCGCGGCAGGCGTTTCCTTTGTTGGTCTCCACCACGCTCCATTGTTGCTCGCAGAAAGATGCGAATTTTAATTTGATATTGTCTAATATTATTTATGTATGCGGCTAGAGAATCCCGCGCGGTCTCCACATCTCGTGCCGTTTCGTCCCCATTCAATGGGAAACCGTACATAGTCATATCTATTCCGACGACTTAACTCGATCCGCATGCGAAGTCATACAAATTCGATCTCGCGAACATTCGAGTTGTGCCGTCAATTCTTTTTCACATAATCTTCCTTCAAGACAAGAGATCTAGCAATGAATAAATTATTCGACAACTGTTTAACACATATATTGTTTAAACATTATCGATTTCCGCGTGCGGCACGTGGATCAGAGCTTTCCCTTGCAAACTTATTTTCTAAGAAGAAAAATCTTGCCTCCTCCCTTTCTCCCCATAATAAATATCTGACCTATTGTACGAGTATTCTTAGCCGTCCTTCAATGTGCTCAAAACCCCGTGACAAATCGTCACGTCTCGTTCGCCATAAACATAATCTAATTACCGGCGTGTGCCCGCCGACGAGCGACGAGGCTAGACTTGCGCGTACGTGCTCGGTCCACCTAGGGAAATCAATATCACAGCCGACGATCCAGGTTCACGCTACGAACTGCCTTGCACGACGGTACGCGCAACAGTTGCGTCGAGAGACGAGACCCGAAGAAGAGGTACGAGAGTCGGGCGGATCGTCGCTCGCCGACATCCGCGAGTTGTTCAGAGTTTTGTTTCTGTAACAATCGGAATCTGGTCGAGACTTCTAAACATCAATTTACATCGAATCGATTGGCTCTCAATTAGGAAACCGTGTAACTTCGAATACCGTCTAATACCTCTCGCGTTGCCATGGAAATTCACGAGGACAGTCGCACCGCGGTCCCGGACTGAGGATATTTACAACGTAGTGTCATATACACTCCCGTCAGGATGACGGAGGAGAAACGACTGTCGTTGGGCATCAACGTTAGCATTTTGCTGATATTGACGATATTCGGCGTGCTACTGTCCTTGCCTTTGCGATTGTTGTTCGACACGAATTACTCCGACCAGAATCGCGGGGTTGAGGGCGGTGTCAGTGACCCGCGGGGCCAGAGGGGAAGAGAGCCCGCGATACCGATGGATCATCGGAAATTAAGGCGCTGTCCGAATCTGCAGTACGAGGATCGCTTGATGTCGGTCTTTATGAACGATTACGACAGAAATTGCACATACGTGCGGGACGACGAGTGCGACGATGACGAGGATGACGACGATGATGACAGCGACTCTGAAGAGGAAGAGGATAAGGACGATGAGGAGGTGGAAACGTACAGGTCCAAGAGGAGAATCGGCAGAGAAATGAAAGAAAGCGCTGAAGAGATCTTGAAGACGCGTCAAATGAAGTCCGTCACGGTGGCAGGCCACATACTCGTGACGATGTTGCTCGTATCAGTAATAGCTGCCCTCGTTGAAGTACTGCGAATACGCTTCGCCAGAGAAAAAGTATTGCGTCACATATTACAGAAGTCCTTAAGCACTTGCGTTGGAACTTGGTATCCTTAAAGCGTAGGACGCCGTAGGATATGTCGAAATGCACGTCACTGAAAAATTTCACTTGGAGAGTACCTACATTTTTCAGAATCTTCCCCTCGCTTCTCGAAAATAGTGCAATATGATTTATAAAATTTAATAAGAGAATGGCCAAATTATCCTAATTATTCGAACACTCATTCTAAATAAAAACCGTCACTTTAATTCCGTAATTTTCGAACGTGATACTTTATTTCAACGCAAGTAATTAATTGTTATTATCCTCAATTGTTTGAGCACTTCATGCATGCTTTGCACTCAAATATTGTCAGACGTAAGTTAAAACCCAGATTGAGCTAGATTCTTAGATTGTTGTTTTTGCACCATTGAGGAATTAATTGCGATATTCGGCAGAGACCGACGGGATAAGCGCTTCGCTGTTTTCCTCGCGGAGCTAGTAAAAACCGTCTCTCGATGCTCGGATAGACACGCATTCTCGTGAAAAACTATTGCACCTTCTCTTTTCAAAAATGCATAAGGATTCATCTAGGGCAGGCACGATTATCTCACGGAGATGCTCCTCCAACGTGGACATGGACATTCTCGCCACAAGACGTCCCAAGCCCCAAGACATTTCAAGAGAATTAATTAGAAGCCAAAAGTCCTTTGAGATACCAGGAATGCACCGTTCCGCATTGCGTCTGTTAGGTATGTGTGCGAAGTAATAGGGAATCGTTATCTCTAAATACATACTTATCATGATCAAGGAAGCGTTAAAAAAAATATGCGAGATATACAAAAAGTTGATAAATTTCTATATGAACAATCATCTTTTGTGGGATTTCTTGAAGAAATTGAGAGACTTAAATTTATGTTTGTTTTTGCAGCAATACTCTGTATTGTTACTCCAGACATTTGTCTATATCTTTAACAAAAAAAAAATCATTAAAAACTGTCGTAATGAATAATAAAATTCATATTTTGGCTAAGCAGAAAATAATTTTATGATGACATCTTGGATGAGATACTGGGAGGTACAGGCGGAGTATCGCGATCAGTATGAGACCGTCTTAACTCGATTAGCGGCGGTGAAACGATAAAAAATTTTAATTATCCACCCTCAGGAGCGCGGCCGCCTCCGCTTATCCGTTGCTCCTCGTTTCCGATATCACAAGCGAAGAAAGCCGCTTCGTCTCTTTGCGGTACACCGAGTAAAGGGCTCACGCGGCGTCAATCGGCCGAATCGGACGAAGAAATCAAGATTACCACCAACACCCTTCATCATCGCATCCGTCTAATTCGACGCCATTAAAGCGGCACGACGACAGGTGAAGATCATTAATCCTTTGCGGTCCAAATTATTTCTTGCCAATTAGCAAAAATCAAGTTTCATCTTCTATTTAATCTAATCAGCGAGTATAATGTAAATTAAAGAATTTTTACTATTTAGAAAAATCGATGAAAATTTCAAAGAATATAGTTTGCTGATTATAATCCTGATTCGATTGCTTAAATTTTATGAAAGATTACCGCAAGTAATGTCGAGTGGTCAAGTCCAACGATCATGAGATTATAAATGACTAATCGCTATCTAGAAGCATGATGGAGACTTGAATTATCCTTGTTAAATGATAAATAGTATAACGTCACATCTTCTCAGATCGATAAACTCTATATCTTTTCAGTATCCATCAATCCAAATGCCTTGTATTTATGTCGGTGACTAACAGGGTATACGCGTCTTCGACTGTACGGTATGTGTTCTCACGCGATAATTATAGATAAAGTTAGTACGTATCTTAAAAAAATATATAGATATGTCACATTGTTAACAGGTAAACGCTGCGCACAACGATCACGTCCAATGACCTTTTTTACGCTCGTGCTACGTCGAAAAGTCTTTCTCTAATGAACCAGATACGCAATCATATCTTCCAGCCCATCCTTTACGGCGGCTTCAGTAGTGCTCCATCTCAGCGACGCTTTTATATCACGCTGTCCACTAAGTTCTGCTTTCTAGCCGAGCAATTTTGAAATATTTTGGATGATATGATAAATATACAGAACCAAATTTCAGAATAAAAAATTATCGCGCGAACTATGGTGGAAAGCTGAATATTGCCATATATAGCACATGCCCGGACTAACATATGTTTAATAATAAAGTTATCTCTATTTTCCATATTGATCGCACACCTTTGGCATTAATCAAACGAAAGTAATCAATCAATCTAACTTAACTGGCAGTGATTTGTTAATAAATTATACAATCTTTTTATCGCGCAATAATATGCAAGTATGATATATTTCTAATGTTGACGTTTTGAAATGTATATGTATATCAAAAAAGCAAGATGGTATTCCTATAAATTTAATCATCTTAAGATGATATTTTTATAAATTTAATCATCCTAAATTAATTAAATCAACGATGTAGCAAAGCTTTTGATAAAGCTTTGAGATAGAGTTGAGAAAACATTTTTTTTTTAAATACTATTCTAATGTAAACTTTTTTGCAAGCGCCCGACGAATTAAATAGAATAAGCATATGTGCACCCTCTCAAACTGATAGTACAACGACCGAATATTCCGTGTGACTTTCATTGTTTTCTTGAATCGCGTTCATCATTTCTTATCAATACGTGTATTAATATCTGTAATCTATATAATACTCTGAAAGAATTATAAAGATTGCTTTGCCTCTACGAAAGTCATAATGAACTCGTCAAAACAGACGAATATTGTAATTTTGTAAGATTGTAAATAAGTTCGAAGGAATAATTCCGATGTATTTTCGTAATCAGAAAATAATAATTGTGTCTCTGCATCGACGGAAAATATAATAATTGTGTCTCTTCGACAAGCTTAATTACTCAGCCACAACGAGGCTGTGATCATCGTCTTTCTTCTATGTGATATGTATTGTACAATCGGCATCACAAATGCCTTAATACGAGTTGCACCAATTGTGCATGTATTCGAGACGTGCACCTGTATGCATGTTGCGTTGGCACAGTAGCCAGATTATTTATTCACATTGTAGTGTAAGTAACAAAAAAGTATTTAATTAAATTCAATTAATTTGAAATTGCATTGCCTGGAATTTTCGTCTTGTATACACCTATCACCTCGTATCATCATAGCATTATATATTCTTTCGATTTTTTGCCAATTTTCAAGAATTTAGATTTTCGCGAATTAAACTTGAATTTTAATTATTTTTGAAATTTCATTTATTGTTATTTTTTGGATCAAACGCTATTAATTTAATAATGGAGATAAAAAATTGTAAAAGATGATAAAAGACTAAATCCAAAATGTTTTTTCTTTTAGGCACCCGGGAAAAAGTTCCACATATAATTATATATAATTATATATAATTATAGGTGGAACTTTTTTTCCCAGGCAAATTGACAAAATATAGGAAATAAAAGTATAAATAATTTTAGTTTCACAACGTTATTAATGTGTGATATCTAAAAAGATATTATTTATATTAATACATATTTATATTATAATAATGTTGACATTCTCATTTGTCTAGTGTCGATTTAATTATCAATCTGTTTTATCTGTTTCTACTTGTTGGTAAAGTGGAAATTAGCAAAAATTACAACGAGAAAAAAATGGCGCGTATTTATCAATGCACGCCATCTGTCGAGCAGTCGACGTTACTTGTTCGTACATGTGAATGTGCTGCATCAGCTGTTCGTTGATATTTAAGTCTTCCTTTGTGGTTATCTTAATTATTATTATACTGTAGATAAAATATGTAATTTATCAGCGATAAAGAATATTAATACGTTTTGTTACGCTAGCGGTTGTCGTCAGTGGAAGACAATATGGAAACGGTAGCTGTCAATTCTTCATAATTCATTTATATTTATTTGGCTATTTTTATTTGATATTCTCTGTGGAATGTGACACATCGTTTATACTTTATATAACTAAACGCTTCCCTGTTAATTTATTTTTAAATACAAGTCAAGTGGACAGTATAATACCATACCCAATCATAGTGTTTCCCTTTTTCTCTATAAATGAATTTACTTAATTACAGAAGGGAAATATAAATGATATTTATTTTTTTACACTTTCAAGTCTGACAAGAGACAAGTCCCAATGCCGTTGAGGAAGGCATTGGCAGTGGATGCCTACTTGACAGACGAGCTTGTCAAATTGGTGGAAAAGATCCTACCCTTGAGACAGTTAAAAGTGCATTATAAATTATTGGAGGTATGAATAATCACTTATTTCTTGGTTAACTACTGTTACAAGTTTTTCTAATTGCATTCATTTGTTGCCTCTTGCTGTAGATATCATGTCACGGTATACCTTGGCTTACGCTCTCTCTCGTATTCATTTGGGTTCTCAACAGCAAAACCTTGTACCAAATGCAAATCAATCTTCTAATAGGTATAAATCGAGTAAAATTTTTCTATTGGAGACTGACTCTCATTTACAATTGATTAGGATATATAAATAGAAAAATTATTTCAGGTTTGCTGCTCGACATCATTTTCGTTGCTCTGCTCAAGGCAATCACGAGAAGGAGACGACCTGCCACTAATGACGATGCATTCTCTATAGGACCTGATAAATATTCCTTTCCATCTGGACATGCATCTCGTTCTGCATTTATTGTTTACTTCTTTTTCCATCTGTGGCCCATATCTCTGATATACACACCACCTTTGCTGGCGTGGTCATTTTCCGTATGCATGTCCAGACTGTTGATGAGACGACATCACATACTGGATGTGCTTGTCGGTGTACTCTTAGGGATCTTCGAAGGTCTACTTATTGGTTATATTTATTTGGAGCAGGAGACATGCGTCTATTTAATTTCATGGATTACGGACGAGAAAATAAATACATGAATAACGTTCGTATGATCGCGATTTATATAAGATATATTGGATTGTTTGTAAATATAACTTTATAATTATTGCCGCTATTATATTTTTCACTAGTATTTAAGACAATGTAAATTGGAAAAATTTGAAAGTCTAAAGTGTCCACAATTGTACAACTGCACTTTGTAAATTACAGTTAGTTTTGCCAGAAATATTATTTAATATTTTATACATACCATTTATGATCCTTCCTTTTTTTATTGACAACAAATTAAATTAATCGCTGATTCAATCAGCACGCAATAACAAAATCTACATAATTCGCCATCTCTAATCTTTCCACATTTTCTTTAAACAAAAATGTTAATCTATCCGTGTTAACAAACTACTATGAGTAAACTCACTTGAAAAATTCATCAGAGTTTGATCGAAATCATTCTGAAAGTGATTTTGATTAATTTAATCCGTGATTAACTTATATTAAGTGCCGGTATTATTTTGTTAACATAGAACTATTTATGCCGTCTAATACACATGGAAGAGAGGTTAGAGGGACGACGAATTATGTAGTTAGAAATTTTGCTGTAAGCAACTCTGCCGTTCGAATTGATCGGCGATTAAGTTAATTGATTAACTTGTTTCCAAGTCACTCTTGCTCAATCAATTCGAGACGCGTGTTTCTCGGTCGACGCTTTCACCGGTTTCTCGTTGGCGGCACTGCCGGCAACCACGCGTCCGCGCCCGCCATTTCCAGATGTCGCCAAACTCGCCGATGCTCAAGGCCGAGACGCATCCTTGTCTCGCGGAGTCCGAATTCCGAGCAGTCACGATGAATTGAATCGACGCGTCTCGACGAACGACAAGAGACGCAGTTTCCCCGATGAGCACGACGAAACGTGACCGGAGAGGAACATGTTACGACGCGGCCGTCCATCGTCGAGTACTCTGGTTCGGGGTAGCAGCGTAGTGCGCAAAGTGTTTCGCTTGTTGCACAGTTGCCAAGGCGACTAACGTGCGTGCGTGCGTGCGTGCGTTCGTTCGCGCGCGCGTGTGCGCGTGTGTGTGTGGCTGTGTGCGCCGCGTACCTGCGGTGTATTATGATAAGAGACCGATCGTCGTTATCGGGACGCAATTTTCGTATCACCCTCACGTCGTCGCCGCCGCCGCCGCCGCCGCCGCCGCTGTCGACGACGACGACGTTTCGATGCCCCGCAACGACGTAGCCTGAAGACAGCCGTCGCGCATCATGGATTATCCGGTGTTGGGCCACTTCGATCCCTCGGTAGAACCCGGTGACCACGTTAGCGGCGAGGAGGAGCAGCAGGAGTTGCTTTGTAAGTACTTTGTACAGTACGTCTGTCGCATCACATGTGCCTCTTTCGCGCGCCGAAAGACGCGCGAAAGATTCGGCGGAGGATATCACCGGAACCTCTCCGCACCGCGCGCATCGCTCTACCCGCCGATTGACCTTCGCCGATACCTCGCGCTGCGTCTGTTTCTACTTTTCGCGACGTTCGTTTGCTTTCGAACGCGAAGTACACCGTGCAGTCGATGATACCAGCTGACATCAGCTGTTTTTGACACATACGAGTTCAGCGAAAATCGTCCTTTGTTTTTTTCCAATATTAATACAGTAATTCACGAAAAATCCTTGAAGCAATAAAAACCAAATTTGTCATTTCTTCTTCAAAATCGATTACTATCTTTAATTTTTACCTTATACATAATAATACAATTGTTTTGGTTTTGTAGTTTAATCCAGCAATGTAAAATAAATTATATACTATTGAAGAACAATTGTATATCTTGTATTTTGTAACATAATTTGTTATTTTACATTACATTCTCACTATATATTTAATTATTTATGTCAGATTTATTATAAATAAAAAGAAAATTTCGCTAAACCGTTCGCGTTAATAGCAGTATCTTTCTGCTTTTGGGATCATACATATAAAAGTTTAGGTCTGCTCGACTCTCAACTGGTCGATTCTCATTCCAGGGGAGGATTGTAATTATGTCGTTTCCGGAGATGAGTACGTACGTGCGACGGAGCAATTTGGAGAGGACTTTGCTGGCGCCGAGTTTCACGAAACTAGAACATTGCTCGCTGATGGCGGAGATAGATTCGGAGTTTCCACTGCCACTTTCGATACGATCGAAGAGCTTATGTGGATGGGGAATCAAGGGGTACATTATTGATATACATTACATGGGGCATCTTATCTCTGTACCAAACAACTACTATAGTAACATCGATTAATTGTAGGGTCACGTAACATCCTATTATGGGCCTGGTTTACAAAAGTATACCTCTTTTCAAGTCCACGCGACGCAGGAGATACGTCACATTCATACTATAGACGAGGGTATTTTAGTCCTATCTCAGAGTCAATTGAGATGTCAATTGCGGAGGGGCATACCTATATTCACCCACACGTATGTTTACACACGTATGTTTGTACGTTAGCAGTATCATCCACGGATTTGAACAAACCTAGATTGTTGTAGGTCGGTGAATATGAACGACATGCAGTGCATGCTGCAAATCTCCCCGACCAGATTGCTCATGGGTGGACATCAGGATAAAATAATTGATTTTAACCTTACTAGAGGAAAGGAGACTGGATTAGTAAGAATCCATCAATTAAATGTTAAATTAATTTCGAGCACGAGATGCGATGGCTTTGTGGTTATGTTTGTAGGTGGATGTAGATGAGAATGGTTGTGCGATATTGAGACAGCACAGTAGGCTTATCTGTGCTGGTAATCCTGCGGGAAGAATAGATCTCAGGGATCCAAATACATTATCAATAGAACATACCCTGGACACGCACAGTGGTTCCTTAAGTGATTTCGATGTTCAAGGAAACTATCTTGTTACATGTGGATTCAGCAACAGGTGAGGCATAAGATAATCAGAGGAGTCTTTAACTGTAAGAGTCTTGTATGTTAAACACATAAATACTTATGGATTTTGTTATAGTCGTCAGGGACTTACTGTTGATCGATTTTTAATGGCCTACGATCTGAGACAAATGAGAGCATTAAGCCCAGTCACTACTATGGTATATCCTCTTTTATTGAAGTTCCTACCAAGTTATTCCAGTCGTCTCGCAGTCGTGTCGCCACTAGGACAAATGCAATTACTTGATACAATATATGCCAATGTACAACCATCCGTGACATGTTTATATCAGGTAAATTTGTCGTGTGTTCAGAGAGAATAAAAAATTGAAAATAAAAATTAGAAAAAGGTATTTAGAGAATATACAGAAATATTGTGTTGTATATTATTAGGTTGCCACTGGTGGTGCCACGATATTATCGTTTGACGTAGCTTCTACATCTCAGTGTCTTTGCTTTGGAGATTTGGCGGGCTCTATACATCTAATGTCCACCAATACCCCGGAGCCTCAATTTAATACATTTTCTAGGTCAGCAATTATTTTAAATAAATTTTAAAATTAATAAACTTAAATTTTAATACATATGTTGAAGTAATTGACAAATAATTTATATTACGTACATAAAATCAAGTACAGTTGAAACGTGAATATATAGTTGACAATGAAAAGTAATTAAAATTACATTGGAAATGTATAATAAGCATGTATTTTTATTTTGCTTAGACCTACGGAGTTCGCCGATCCAATTGAGACACTACCATCGATTCCTTTTGATGACGATGTTACACCGTTTAGTACAATACCCATGGTATACTCAGATCAGCCACTTCTAAGTGATTGGCCTGAAGAATACTTAAAAAAAGTGTATAGGTAGATATCTCCTGTGTATTTCCGTTTTTTTTTTTGTACAGTTAAGAAACGACTTGACTTGACTTTCGTTCTTTTACAGAAAAACTCCACCAATAGATCCCGAAATCTTGCGCACAATGAAAATGCAGGGAACAATAGGATACGCGCCAAATCCTCAGGCTTTCCGCAGAAATCAAGTGAGGACACAATATTCTCCCACTCTATTACAATATTCTCCTCCGTCTCTTCTTAAATTATCTTAAGTTCCATTCATGTCCTTAATAATTTTTTCTGTCTTTGTTTATCAAATTTTGAAATTCATTCTGCTTATGACTTGATATCGAATCTAATGATGCTTCTATACATTAAATTGTTACCCGAACTAATATACACACATATATTTCAAAGGTATATATTATATATGTATATATATATGTGTGTGTTCCTTCATGATTTTGAGGCTTTACTAGTGTGATCAATTAAAACATACTATTGACGTGAAAATTAAGACTCAATGAAGCGTTTAATTTTTTAGAAAAAGAAAAAAGTTTGCTATAATGTGATTAAGACTGATAACATTTCGTGATTATAGCATATAAAGAGACGTGATATATTTTCGTAAGCTAGTCCAATGTATTCTATCAATTTTACAATAATAGCATACATAAAATTTAACAGTCTTGAGGTATATAAGTATACGCTGCGCGTGTAAAATGTTAAAGTTTCTTTATTCTTCTCGTTATTTTGTTTCATATATTATCAATTTACAGTATATTCTGTATGAACGAAAATATCCAAAAAAGTAATTTTGAAAAATAATATGAAACTAATGTCGTTACATTATAACATTAATGAAAGTACTATTATTTTTCTTTTATTAGAGTAAATATTTTTTTAGTGACATTTACAAGATTCTGTTTATTTTTATTTGATATTTTGCTCATATAAAACTGAGAAAAAAAATGATTGACATACCAGGAGTGCACATTTCTAAATGTGTTTAAGATTAAAATATATAATATTTTTGTTCTTCGATTTTTCATCTGAATTTTGTGGATCCAGTGTTGTTAACAATATGCAAATTTATACATATAAAAAATAATATATGATAAAAATACATTACTCTTATAGCATATAAACGTACTGCATTCTAAATTCTAAATATATTTTTATTGTTAGTTTAAATAACTAAAAATATATGAGTGACATAATTGATAAATTCTATCATTATTAAATATTATATGTATAATATACATATATATTTTTCTTATTATATAAGCCATACAAATTATTATTAAAATAATTATTTTTTTTTTAAGAACTGCTGAAGTATTTGAATTGGGCTTTTGTTGGACATTTTGTTTATAAAATTAAAGTTGAGGCCTTATTACTCTTTTCACTTTACAGAAAAAAAAATTACAGCAGCGTCTAAGGAAAAAACGTGTGCATTGAACTATATCGATAGTATAAGTCTTAATTTCTTTTATAGTTATTTGTGTTGACATTTATAGAACGACCGATAAAGAAGAAATATGAATAAATGTTTCTAATATGTCTTCCGCCGAAAGTTTCCACAATAGCCATAGCTTATCAATCAGCGTGATATTTGACTGCCTTCTCGCAATCCGCGCAATGTGTTTGTGATCGATTGCATTTTGTCTTTTCGTTTAATGATTCCGCTCGATATGCGATTAATATATTTACATGTAAAAATATATTTCGCATGAAATGTATACTCGAAATTGTATTTGAGTGAAATAATAAAGGTTGTATGACATGCAATAGTATGCGTAACTTTAATATACGATGCGCCGCATTATCGATTCAGTTCCCACAACGCGTTCTTTAATAGGTATTATTTATTTTTTTGCAATCCAAAAGTCTGCTCTCTATCGTGCACCAAACAACTGTACAAACTATGTCTCGATACCTCACGCGTACATCAACGCATGGCAAATTCCATTAGACAGAAATGATCTTGGCGAAAGAAATATCCGACATTTTCACAAGTGGAATAAAAATAAATAATACCTCTTTTGCAGATACCGTACAATCTGGAAAAACGACGCGGCTTAGTCGCGAAGCCTTTCGCGGGGGATTCACGGTCTAAAACAGACGACGGCACCTTTGTAGCCATACCTAAGCGCTATCGTAAAATCGAGTTGAAATACTCACGGCTTGGTTACGATGATTTCGATTTCGATCAGTACAATCGAACCAGCTTTTGCGGCCTGGAGGCTACACTTCCTAACAGTTATTGCAATGCTATGCTACAGGTAAGCTGAAGAAAACTATAATGAACCCGAGCTGAGTCGGGACGATGAATGAAGTAAGTCGTCAGACACGTACGTTCGTGCTTTGCAGTTGCTTTACTACTGCGAACCTGTAAGAGTAGCATTGCTCTCACATTCATGCCAACGAGAGTTTTGTCTCTCTTGCGAATTGGGATTCTTGTTTCACATGCTGGACACATCACGAGGGTTTCCCTGCCAAGCTGCGAATTTCCTTAGGGCTTTTAGGACAGTACGGGAGGCGTCAGCTTTAGGACTTATACTGAACGATCCAGAATCGAAGAAAAAGATCAATCTGATTATGCTCATACAAGTATGTTATTATAATAATAATTATAATATTCAGCGTAAAAATGCGCGAATTATAATTGCATTTTAGCTTGCGTTAGAACGAATGTTCGAAATATGTTTTTATTAGAAATGGAAGAAAATAAAAATTAAATTTTTATTTAACTTTTTATTCGATGCATAAATGTTAATTTATATTTTCAAAAATGTGCGCTTTTATTAAGCGTTTTTTTGTTAAAAAAATGTATTAAACATCGCACGATATGCTTGCATATATTTAGAAATTTAATACACATTGACACAAAAAGATACACCTATGTTTGAACTTTGTATTAGAGCTGGAATCGATTCATTCTACATCAAATACACTACGAGGTTCTGGAAACTAGGAAGCGACAGCAAAAGGAAGAAGAGGCAGCGCGGCTTAAGTCGGGTTCCAAATACCCCGCATTTGTTTATAACGAACAGGACTTTCCTAGCATCCTTGAGGACCTCGGTTCTCGATACAGAAGTCACGACGATGAGAGGAAAAAAAAGAGGAAGCAGGAGGAGGATGGTAAATATATGTGGATCACATCGAAAGGTAAACACAATTCATGTGTAACCTTTGCACTGGGCACTTTTTGTGTTTATTTTTCAATTTGTATGTGATTTATTTGATTTTTTTACTTGACCCAAAGCTGCAGTGATATATCCAAAGAGCAAGAGATGACTAAGAATTATATGATTACCGTATTTGTACTGTAATTGTAAGCATAATTTTTCATAACGATTCTAAAAACCTTTAATTTGATAAAATGCTTTGCAACTTGATTATATCTTGCATACTTAGGATATCTCACAACTGCAACTTCTTAATATACGCGTATATGTTTGTTTTTTTAGAATGTATCTTTATTAATCTCTCTGGTATTAAACCAATAAGTTATGGCAATGCTTTTTGTTATTCCTTAGATCGCTTTATTCTATATTATGTATATTTTTTTTATAGTAAGAAGAGCAGCCAGCCCCTTCTACCTTACTTTCCAAAAGTTGCATGATCTTGCTTTTACGAGAATCCTGGGATTTAAAAATATGTGATTAATATCCATGCGTTAAAAGTGATAACATATAACACACCGAAGTGTTAAACTATCTATATATAAATAAAAAATATATATACTTTGGAGATTGATTTCAAAATTATCTCAATAATGTTTTGCATTGCTTAGTTAAAAAAAAAAGATAAACATATAAAAGATATATATATATATTTGACACAATATTTAAAAAATATTTTAAAATCATTAATATTATAAATTATAGAACATTGAAAATTAAAAACGCGTTATAAACGTATATCACGTTACTACTAGATATTGTTACGAAATTGTTATTTACATCTCGTTTAGTAAAACTATTACTATTTTTACTCAATTGTAATATCGTTAATATTTGTTTATTTTATCTTTAAATGCACATTTTTATTACGGGTAGACAAGACCACCAAAAAATCCGCCGAAGAGAATGAAGTGCGAGATGACGAAACAGAGATCAGTCGTCTATTTGGGTCTGAACAAATGCACATATATCGCTGTCTCAAATGTGGGCAAGAAGCAACAAAACACTCCATCATGTTACTCTGTAACTTAGTTTATCCGGAAATAATTAATCCTTGTAAGCAATTTTCAAGCAGTATACGTCCAATGCTTCGGCTGGACGGAAAGTGAGTCTGGTGTGTAAATTGAAACTTTGCCTGGTGTATACTTAGACGTTCGAGCATTTTAAAGTAAAGAGATATAAAATAAAGTGATGTGATATAATAAATGACTTTTGTAATTTTCAAGTATTTAAGATCGAAAAAATAAAATAAAAATTATGATATCACATATGAGATATATTTGAGAGATTAAAGTTCCAAATATTCTACACGCTCAACTGACTTTTCGTACCTGACCTTAGCTTAACCGCGCACATCGATACTCCGTGGCTGAACACAAGATTTACCTTTTGTAGCTGAAGAGGTACCGTTCACAAATGTTCTTGCCCGCAGTTTAAGACCTGAGCAAATTACACCCGCATGGTGTGACAATTGTCAGAAATTTATACCAACTCTCCAGTCTCGACAATTGACTAAACTACCTCAAATACTGGCTCTAAACTGCGGCTTAAATACTCAGCAGGTATACTCACAACATCACATTTAGATGTACAATTGTAGCGCGCGCAGAATCGAAACACGGAAGCCGCGTACTACACCCCCGTTCGTCCACAAGTCAAAGTGAAATTGAATTATTACAGGATAAGGCGTTTTGGCAAAATCAAATGGACATCGTGGTGCAAAACGTGTTGACGGGAAAGGAAAGCAGCCCCAGCTCCAGTCCTGTGCCCGTCACCGCGAAGCCCTGTCGATACGGCAATAATTGCACGCGAACTGGATGTCGATTCAGGCACGTCGGGCGCGACTCAGGTACGCAAACACCTTTTGTCTATATAAGATTAAATATGTCGCTCTGAATTAATTCGCTAATCATTTAATTTAACTGTGGCAGAGTCAGAAAAATTATTAACGTCATCCTCCACTCCATCTACCTCGTCAACGGCCCCCGTTGCATCGCCTCCTAGTCATTTGTATTACCTGCATTCCTGGATACCTCACAACATAGAGATCTCCCTCGAAGAAAACGGGAAGATGTCGGTGAAAAAGATCAGCGAACCAAAAAGTGAATTGAATAACGATACGTCCGCACAGACGAGCACGATGGAGAACGGCCAGGACGACAAAACGATACAAGTAGTTTCCGAGAACGCCCGGGGTAACGGTGAAGAAATTGTAGAAAATTGTAGTATAGCATCGAACGCGGAAGACGACGAAGCCGTGGAAAGTACAAATCCAACGATCTCTTCTAATGCTCAAAAGATACAGTATGGCCTCAGTGCTGTCGTCTGTTACATCGACGACAAGAACGAGGAACGGAGGAACATCGTAGCGCTGCTACGAGTTGGGCCAAACTATCACGAACGATCGGCGGGCAATGCCGTGTCGCAGTGGTACATTTTTAACGACTTCTGGTGAGTTTTCTCAGCGTCTGGGAACAATTTTGTCCACGCTTTTTTGTAACGTCATTTATTCCCGACGCGGCACTTGTTACAGTATACAACCGGTGACTCCGCAGGAAGCGGTATGGTTTAATCTCGATTGGAAAGTGCCGTGTGTACTGCATTACACAGCGATACCTGCGCCCGAGCCGACACAGTTGGTCAGTCCTCTTACGTACGATGTATTCGGAGAAGATAAATGTATCGCTCGCAGTGGCGGAACCAGAGGCATCACATTCACTCCTCTGTCGTCAGACGAAATGCCTAAGAAAGGTAAGATTCCTCTGTCGTAACGATCTTTCTGTATTTCCGCTCTTGATGTGAAATTATTGTACAATTTTAATATAGATTGTCCTGCAACCTCGTTATATGTGTGCTCGAATTGTTGTTGCAGGGGAATTGGTGGGCATCGATGCAGAATTCGTTACCTTAAATCAGGAAGAATCCGAGCTACGGAGCGATGGGAAGATGTCAACTATAAAACCGAGCCATATGTCGGTCGCGCGAATCACCTGTATACGCGGGTATGATTTATATGAATTGTGTAAACAGTAATGCTTTATAAAATTATGAAGATTAATCTGATTAGATTGAAAAAAAAAATGCGCTTAATACAATATTCGAGTTATTTTAAGCCATAATATTTTTCTCGCTTTTTATGATTAGGCAAGGTCCATTGGAAGGTACGCCGTTTATAGACGATTATATAAGCACTCAGGAACAAGTGGTCGATTATTTAACAAAATTCAGCGGAATTCAACCGGGTGATTTAGACGCGAATTTTAGCAGCAAACATCTCACAATGCTGAAATCGACGTATCAAAAGTTGAGATTCTTAGTGGACAACGGTATAATTTTCGTCGGGCATGGCCTAAAAAACGATTTTAGGTAAAATGTTTGACCTTGTCCTGTTTGACATCTACGACGGTGATTCGTCATCTCGTTGATAATATTTTTTTTTTGCGTGAACTTTTGTAGGGTAATAAATTTGGTAGTGCCGCCGGAGCAAATAGTGGATACAGTTTTGCTGTTCCACTTACCTCATCATCGGATGGTGTCGTTGCGCTTCTTGACCTGGCACTTTTTGGGTAAAAACATTCAGTCTGAGACTCACGATTCAGCCGAAGACGCACGAGCAGCTTTAGAATTGTATCGTAAGTACAAGGAACTGGAAGGTTCCGGCACATTGACGGAAACGCTGAAGGAACTTTACGAAGTGGGCAGCCAATTACAGTGGAAAGTAAGAGGACGAAAATTCTTACATTACTAAACGTCATCCCTCAAGCTCACCTTGTTAAATTTATTTTAACACTATTTGATTTTAGGTTCCTGATAGCTGATACGAGGATAACCTATATGACGATATAGTTGATGAAATCAATAGTGATAATGATAATTAGATGATACGACATCGTTAATTATCCGACATCGTTGTTCAAAAGGTATTCGTCGATAAAGTGTCGATGTTTTTAATCCAATGTTGAAGATGGGTTTCACATATCCGTCATTCACAGAGAACAGATTTATTCAACGCACACGTAATATTATTAGACGGAATTTTTCGGGATTCCATACCGCAACATCATGAAGTTGATAAAATTGCAGAACAATCATGATGTTCATTCAGGCGTTGTTTTCGCTTATTGTTGTATATGTTAGATCATTGTTGCATACCATATATCAAGAATATATGGTATACATATACATTTTATTCAATACGGTAATAATACGTCAAAAAACAACACATTTTTTATCACTAGTATTTCATCGATCGTATATAGCCCGTTAAAAGGACTGAATGAGAAAATTGTTGATCGTGATTTTAAATTAGAAATTAAGCATGATACAAATTAAATTTGTATATATCATCTCATAACATATTGGCGTTTTGAGGAGCAGTAACGATCTCGCACTGCCCGATAAGAGTATTCACTCTAATTTCCATTTATAACGTATCCCAAAGTTAACGTATTCCATCTCGATCCATCAAACAATTGCCGAATATAGACGTAAATAGTTACATAGCACAATAGTAATAATTGAATTATGTCTCTAAGTACCTAATATCTCATTGTTTTCTTTTATACGTATTTTCTTTAGCGCATCAACTTTTTGTACGATTTTACGAAGCCGAATTTCGTATAGGGATCTTTTTATAAAAATATTTCATGGATTTTAGTTCTCAGTCACACACCACACACATACACAGTCGCCTTCACATTTGCGCAAGAACGCAAATCTGAACGCAAAACTGTTCCAGTCATATTTGCAATTACGGTAATTGTTACTCATTGCCATTTTTCGAAACTGATCCATTTACGCTCTCGAAACGCGGAAAAATCTACTGTCGAAAATATGGTAATATATTTTACAAACTGACAACTGTATGCGTTATAAATTATTTTTATATACATTTTATCAATGGAAGAATATGAAGGATACTGTCTAAAATATTTTGAAAAAGATGAGATTAATGAATATATTTTTTTATATCTGGAAGGATTTTCTTATAATTTGTGTACGATATAACTTATATGCTGATTCAGTGATCAATGCGATTAATAGTACTGACGGTACACACATTGACCGTAATCAAACATTTTATTTACGCCAATCACTGTTACGTCATTGTAATTTTACAATAAATGATTGTACGAATTCATCCGATGTAATTTTTCTTCTTAGCTATAGTCGAATTTTTTTAAATAGTTATATATATTTTTATTATAGGAGAAATTAGTAGCAAACGCAAAATGTTAATTTCATTACGTGTATATATATATTTTGTTTTTTTTTTTAATATTATATCTTAATGTAGTATGTACAAGTCAGTTCTAGCTTCCTACTTATATTAGAAAGATATAAATCTTTTCTAATTAAAATATTATTGCGTTAAACCACTTTTCGTGGGCAGTTTTTAGTAACGTAAATTAATAATTTACAGATTATACACACATTCACCTTGCGCGCGAGACAATGCATCACGCTATTGTTACAGCGCTCAAGCATACGTTACGGTATTATGTATATATAACATAAAAATTTAAAATAAATAATTAAAAAATTCCGTGCGAGTTTAAATCGCTCTTCAGGGATATTTAGACCCCTTTCACATGGGTCTAAATTCGATATGCTAATAAAGCATCATCTGAAATATGAAATTGCAGAAGACTAAAAGACGTCTGAAGAAATTTTTTATGATGTGATTTAACATTCAAGACGCAATACTCGGTCATCAACTGCTCGTGTGAAAGGAGCTCTAAAAGGAAAGATTATCTATGATGAATTTTTCGGTGCCGAACGAGCCCCATTAACAATAAGAGAATCATCGGCGAGATACGAAATCGTTTTAGAATTCGTACCGCTGGTAAAAAAATAATTATAATTGTACTCTATCGTAAAAAGACAGCGAAAGCGACGAGGCACGTATCAAGGCGTTCTACCGCGGATAACGGTATAAAAAAAAATAACATACATATATTACTTATTTACACGAAGATACGATTCGTCGAAGAATGTCGAGATATTCGGTCGTATCTGCCGACTGTACGCGCGGCTTAAGTAATTACAAGTAATAATAAAAAAAAAAGAAGAACGTCTCCTGACTAGAAACTTGCGTGGTCGAGCTGCAGGAGCTGGAAGGAGTATTCGACGGCAGTATACGAGTGACGAATCGATCGTCACCCAAAACCAACGTTTCAGTGCACCTCGGCAGATGCTCGCCTTGCCCTAGACACGGATTAAGGCACTGTTGAACGCTAACGAGATATTCGGCAGAAGTCGAAACTGTGTCCGCAGACTACACCAAGCGAATCATCCATTCAACGCGCGTTCCCTCGATTATCCGAAGATTAAGGCGTTTTTTTTTCATGGACTGCATAATCGAAATTTCTAACTCGCTTACGATTCGATCTGGCAACCAGAAAATCGAAAGTTTCGACAGAACAATAGTGGACAGTGATGATCCTCGTTTAATGATCCTCGCCTTGTTGGAAGTGACCGTTTCGATTCAACGGTTGCCTCTCTGGAGCATCGGACGGTCTGTTCCTCTTGAAGAAACCGCACTGTAAATGAGAAATAAGATGAATTACTATCATTGACTCATCTTGATTTCAATCAGCCATTATAGTATTAATATCGGAGATTGAATTAATTTACAAAAGAATTTAAATAATAAAAAAGAGAAGCAATCATATGCAATCACATTCGGAGGAATGTTTCTTACTTGCAAAAAAATTTGGAAAAGTACTATTTCTCTGAGGACTAACCTTGTAAAGCAAATAAATAAGCAGCAAGAGGATTATCATTCCCGCGCAAGCTGACAAGACCACCACCCATATTGGAATCATGTCCGGAGCAGAAGGCGCCGCGCTGGGTTCGACGTTCGTCATGACTTCGTCGCTCCTGATGACCTGTTCGACAGGCTTACCGATGAACGGTTGCTTCGTGACACGCGCCACCAGCTTCGTCGATACCTTCACTTTCTCTTCAAGGGCTACCTCCTTCAAAGTTCTAGCGTCCACGCGATATCTCGCGCTGATCCAGACCTCTTGATCTTTTTTCAATGGGCCCAACACGCATCGCAACATAACGCATTTCGCTGCGTCGCACGGCCCTACGGGTGTACTCTGCGACGACTCGGGATCGTTCTCCTGATAGTAATCGTCATCCTGGAACGTCGTTGCGTCCGACACGTCGTCCGTCTCGCCGAGATCTCGCCGATGTCTGTGAAGCCACTCGAGTTTCTTGAACTCCTCAACGTCGACCATATCGCTCTCGCGTTTATCTCGCGTATATCTCGAACTCGGAAAACTGGGGTCCGGTCTGTCAGTGGGGAACTCGTCGTTAAATCGATCACGGTTTTTTCCGTAGATCCTGGTGTTACTCGTTCTCTGTTCCGTCAGTCTCTCTTCATGTGTACGAGTATTATATCTGCTTTCGTAACCTCCGTCCGAAGTTGTACCGACACTCGATGATTTCTCGTGCCAAGATTGACTGTAAGTTCCCTGACCTTGATTATCAGCGTTGCCACCTTGATAGCCATCGTGCGGACCACGCAAAGTGTACGTTCTTTCCTCGGTGTGCGTGAAAGAACCCTGAAGTGGAAATCTTCGGCCGTCCTTCAACACAATGTAACCCTTCCCATCCGGAGCAATAAGTAACTGACCTTCAATCCCGAGGAATTGAGCGTCGCGAGGTTCCGTGGATTCCGGAGAGATGTAGCTTTGCTCACCGTAACGATCCTGAAGGGGAATCATAGAGCCATCCTGGAACTCTATGTACTCCCTCTTATCGGCGGATGTTCTGAATCTCGCCTTGAATTGCACATACTGATGTCCCTGTCTGTTGTATATTTGGTAAGCAGCTGCGTCTTTCGACAACGTACCAAAAATTCGCTCCAATTCTTGCGTAGAGCTGATATTGTGCAAACCAAATTCTCGACTTCCGACCGTCTCCTCGCGATCACCAGTAATGAAATCATCTTCCGTAGTTCGATAATCACCCGTAGTCACTCCGTAGCGCCTTTCCTCGTCGTAATTGTATCTATGTTCTCTCTCTTCTTGCCGTCTTTCCTCTTGTCTTCGCCATTCCTCTTTGTTCCGTTCATCTTCCAGTCGACGTCGCTCTAACTCCTCCCGATGACGTTGCAGAGCTAAGTTACGTTCCTCTTGCTGACGCTGTATAAGCGCCTCCTCCTGCAGCTTCCTCTGTCGGGTCTCCTCCTCTTGACGCAGACGAGCCTCCTCCTGCAGCTTCCTCTGTCGGGTCTCCTCCTCCTGACGCAGACGAGCCTCCTCCTGCTGTCTCAGCAAATCCTGGTATCGCCTCTCGCTCTCAGTCACAACTGAATCGTATCTTCCTGGAGGTGAGATCGTATGTCCTTGCGCTTCACTGCTCTCTTTCCAACGATTTTCCACCCTGACGGATTGATCCGTACGAGCTCCGTAGGAGTGTTCGAGAGGGGGCAACCTCGAGCCAAAGGTTTCCTCTTCAGATTCATGGAATCCCCTGCCTAAAGTCGAACCATAACTACCGCTCGATTCCGTATGAAAAACGACACTGCCGCGATTGCTGGATGAATCACCGCTACCGATCGAGCTAGTTCCGGAAGAGTTGTGCGTGTACGTCGTGGTGAGCACTTCGGGCTTCTCTCCCGTTGGGTTTAGCTGAATCCTCCTAGATTCGCTAACACTGGAAGAAGAGGAGGAAGACGATGACGACGAGGAGTGTCGTGATTTCTGAATATTCGAACTGTCGCCACTACTGATCTCGGCCTCTTCCTTCTGATTCACTTTATTACGATCTATCTCGAAGCCTCTCTGAACATTAATTGTTCTGCCCGATTGCGACTCGTCCAGGATTACGCCGGAGTAATCGAGATAATTTAGGTGCGCTCTTCTGCGCTGATCCAACTGCAATACATTATTATGATTTATATTACCATATATGAATAATATTATAAGTGATATAAAAAAGTAATTTTTCGCTTTACCAAATATGGATATATTATATGGGATATAAAGAAATAATTTTCCACTTTATACGTACCTTCAAACTGAGATAATTAGCGTTGGCAGACTCACAAGCGATCGGCCCCGCCGTCTCCGGTTGTTCCAGTAAGTACATCAGTATCTTCCCGGATAAAGTCTGCGCGGGCCATACGAGGAACGCCTCTGCCTCGACGATATCCGACGGGCCTTGATTGCGAATCGTATAATTGTGCGTCACCGCTGGTCCCAATTCGAGCTCCGTTGTAATATTTACGGCAGTGTAATTGTCAGGATTATAATACAGATCCTTGGGCTTACTCTCACCGTCCACGCGCAAATCTGTCTCTATCCAAATCGGCAGTGGCAAATATATCTTGTTATCATAGACAGTGTTGGGATTTTCGGGGTTCGTGGTGTTGACATGCATATCAAATTCGTAGACAGGTTTCATCCCGTGAGACGTCACAGGCTGAAGTAACACCTTGAACTTCACCAGTTTTCTCTGTGGCAGTGGATTTCCGATATCACAGCGTAAAGTATTGTTGTTCGATTGTTTGGGCGCGGAACAGTGAACCGGAATCTCCATGGTCTCGATGCGTTCGATCTTGATGTAATCAATACCGGCCGGTAGCTGCAGATTGTACGTCGCCTCGAAGGCGTCCTCGCCCGCGTTGTGAACCTGGACTTCGAGTTCCAACCTTTTGCCAGATCCTAGCAGGTATTTGTCAACGTTGGACTCCACTATGAGCTGTAAGTCGGGTATACAAATGTTGTCGGGACCGCAGTTCTTTCTGATAGAGAGACTGTCTTTCGTGGAGGTTGTAGCGCCAAGGACCGGTCTCAATGGCATTCTGGGATCACGTTGGCGATTATCCGGTATCCGCTCTTCCTCTAGACTCATACGCATCTCGGCGTCCAACGACGTTAGCTTGTCGCGAATGTTAGGAGTCACGTAGACCTTTAGCAGCCATACCAAAATTGTAAGTTTTATAAACAGGAAATATTTTGCACATATAATATTAAAATTAATCTGTTTGCCTACCTGGACTGTGCGGCAGAACTGCTGCTCACGTTCGACCGTGATCGTATGATTCATCGTGTTCCTGCCTTCCAACTCCAGGAAGAACAATCTCGGATTCTTCGTTTTCTTCACGTCGAGTACGTACTGTATATTAAAATTGTGCTTCATGAGAACGCCCACTCCTGCATATCTGAAGCAAGCCCTAAGCGGAAAACACGTGACCCTGGTGCTGTCCGAAAGCGTGCAAGTTCTGTTTTCCAAGGAGATCAACTTGGATTTGGTGTCGAAGGTCACGTGGGAGTCCATCTTGATCACCGGTCGTGATCTGAAAAATGCACAAAGCTCAATTTCGAAACTATAGATGCAATTTAAAGATATCCTCAACATCCAGACTCAATCGAGAGATTAAAGGATGATTGGTAACAACCTGAAAAACATCGTTGCTCCCGACTCGTATGCTCCGACTACTAAGTCTGGATAAACATTGCCATCGAGGTCAAGGCCACCAGCCACGGAGAATCCGAAGGTCTGCACCGGATTGTCCAGGTCCTCCGCGTAGATCACCTGAGAATACTTCTCCAGTACTCCGTTCTGTGAGCCGTGATAGATGTAGACGGCACCGCGACCGTTCGGACCAGCGTAGGGCGCGCCGACGACAAAGTCACCGTAACCGTCACGGTCGATGTCACCCAGGGAGGCCAGCGACAAGCCGAAACGTCCGCGGTTGCTTTCGCCGTCCCTGGAGAACGATAAGCTTTATCGCGGCGGTTCAACGGACTTGCATGATACAGGGCTCATTTAACCCTTCGAATCGGAGTTAATAAACTTGAGAGCAGTGAAAATGTTTCCGGCGCCTCCGCTTTACGAAAAAATTTTCTCTCTCTCTCTCTCTCTCTCTCTCTCTCTCTCAGAGAAAATTTTTTTTGTAAAATTTATGAAAACATATATAAACATATATAAAATACATTTATAAAAACATATATATACATATGTTTTCATAAATATAATATGTAATACATGTAATATATTACTTCCTCTCTTCTTCATTCCTTAAAATACTTATGAAGCTTCATTACCTTGTGTCGAATTTGCGGAATTTCTCCACGCCTTTGCCCTGATAGATAACGTAGATTCTTCCGGTTTCGATGGTCATTTCCGGATTTTCTGGGACTGTATACATGGGTGCACCGACTATCAGGTCATCCATCCCATCTCCGTCTATATCGCCGGCAGCCAAGGCGTAACCGAAGTAAGCACCCATTTGTTCACCAGTAAGATTTCGAGGATTTGTCATGTTCGATGTGAAAAGTATGACCTACGATCATATTTTCGCGTCAGCCCACATCCGCAATGACGAGACATATATTACTGTTATATAAATTTTATCATGATTTTCGAAAATTGGGTTTAATATTTCTTACCAGCTTAAGTTTTCGCGTGTATGTACTTACAATTCAATATTTAGATTCTTGGGAAGCATACAATTCTTTGCATTTTTTAAATTTCAGAGTCAGTTAAGTATTGCAAATATCTGAATTTATCTTGCAATATTTCTCGTATTTATTAAAATCCTTACATTTAGATATATACTTGAATTTTTTAATATCGCGATTGTTTTTCTCTCTCTTCTTTTCTCTTCTACATTTCCATCGTCACGCTTTTGTACTTTATGTGGTCTTCGTATTTCAACCTGTAATACGATATTCTTCTACACACCTTGCCCAGAAGATCAGAACCGCGCGGGACGCCAACCGCGGTACCACTATCTCCATTTCCAACGAAATCTCCTGTCGTGACGGAATAACCCATATAACTATCGTCTTCCGAAGCGGGACCCTCTTTGGTGACCATGAGTTTCAATTGGTCAGTCAAGGGCTGCGAAAACGCTTGTCCTACAAAACGATTTCATGACGTCAATGAGAGAAATATCCCAGGAAGCGACGGGAATGCAAGTGTTTTCGTGACCGCGGCTTTAGTCGAAGATCTCTGAAAGGCAATCGACCGTTGCTGCAGTCAGGAAATAGCTCGCAAAAAAAAGCTTCACAAAATCTTGCATCACATTAAAATACACGTTGTCAGCGTGCAACTAATCGATTTGAATTTCGTCTATCAGAGCCGAGGAGCTATTTAGCATTTAATAGTTATAGAACGTCGTTAAAACGAATTATTCTTCGAAATATTAATTAATTTGCAGAAAAAAATCACACACCCACATACATCTATTGTACGCATGTATGTGTACATATTTAATTTTATAAGATTTTGTGAAAACGACATATTATATAAACATAGGATTGACAAGCTTTTCTATTATTAATCTAGCATTTGTTCTCGCTATTAATGTCAAGCGATCGTCACTATGTAGCAACGTTGGCGCAAACTCTCGAGCCGATTAAGGGTATTATAGCTTTCTAGTTGGATCCGTATTACGGCTCTTGCTGCGTCTGTAGCTTGCTGAAGCTGTAAGAAGCGGGCCCGCACCTGTTAGAAATGATCACCCACCACTTATTTGGCAGTACTTAAAAATGGTCCAGGGCGTATATCATGTTAATCGTCGCAAATATAGATCTTTATTTCATCAAGAAAACGAAGCTGTAGAAACAGCTTCTAATTCAATAAGAGTTTTAAATTTATTTAATTCATAATAACATAAAGTAATAGCATTAAGTATTATAACATAAAGTATCAAACACAGAGACTATAGATCATCCCAATTAAAAAAGAATGATCTAGGAAATCAATGAACTTAATTTTAACTATAATGGGCATAGTTAAACGCACTATATTCATCAATTTTAACTGTATAATTAATAACAAGCGTCATACGTTAAGCGTGAGGGCGAATGATTAGATTTACTGCCAAGCAAGTGTGAAGAGGGTGGAAAATACTCTCGTGTTACTTGATACCTGCCTCCGAGGACGATTTCCTGCGATTAATGCGAATTATTATTACTGCCGGCTTTCACTTCAGTTCTTTTTTTTTCGCACTCTCGGGAAAAGCCGACAAGCAACACGTTGTTAATTTGGCACGTAAGAAGTCGTCAATACGAGAGAGAATGGTAGCTTATTAGAAATGAGGTTGGTGGGGGGCGCCAGGGTAAAGGGCTGGACAGTATTTTAATTACAGGGGGACGCCTGCAAAGTGTTCGCGGTACCTGATGCTTCGGATTCGATGAACATCGTCGCCACGAACTTCAACCTCATGGAGGTGGCGATCGAGTATATCTGACCTGCAATTTGTTAAAGGAAATTCCCCTCTGAATTACTAGTGAGATCTAGGAATCGCACGCTCTTTCTCTCTCTTTCTTTCTCTCTCTAATCGCTACTCAACATCCGCTCCTCCGTTCTCGTTCAGTCGCACCACCCCGTGGATCAGATAATTTTGATTGAAAAAAATAAAAATAAATAGATACGCCCGCGTTAGCTTAAAAAACAGATTTTCGACCGGCTCATATACGGCCTAAGATATACGGGCGTTATCTTACAGGCGAAAAATTGGTAAAGCTTTTTAACTCACCTTGCCAGTAATAACTGCCTGGTGCGCCTATGAAGAGTCTCTCGCCATTCTGAAATAAGTAGAAAAGTAACTGTCAGCGAATTTTTTCACTCATTGCGCGGCACGAGGGAGATGGGATTAAAATCTAATCTCCGGCAACACTTTTGCTCGCATTCACACAATTGTTCCTACATTATTTTCCTTTATGGAAGACGAAGCATCTCGCAAAACAAAAGAAGCGGTAAATGGTACGTGTGATCTTCAGTGCCTCGGGTGCACAACTGGGAAACGAGCGCATCCACAAAAGTCTAATTCTCCTCTTTTTTTTTTAATTTATAAGATAATACCGTAGATAGGAGAAGGGAGGGCTCGTGCGCGCGAGCCTGTGATACGATAAATCAACCGCTCGTATATATGCAAGCCGCACATTTGCTGCACGCGTTTGCACACAGCCGCGTCACGCATGTTAAACCATACGAGAAAATCACGGTGGCCTTTACGGTCACCTTTAGAGACTTCTCGGTGCGAAGTGCCATCGTCTTTTGCACAGCAAGACAAAAATGCTACGAGATTAGAGAGATCGATAGCATCGCGGATGATAAAATATCGTTAAATACTGCGAATACGATACCTGTCGATAATTTTTTCATAAACCTAATGCATTATCCTCCGTCACGAAGTATCTTCAGCATTCCTCATATATATGTGCGATGATTGAAAACAAAGATTTTTTTTTTACAAATCAAGCTCTACGAGTCTAATTATATAACAAAATCTTTTGCAAGTGGCTTTTGCTTTGACAAAATTTTAATTCAAAAATTAATTATAGAATTGTGTAATCTTAAATTTATTCAAAATTCACACGGAAGTCAAAAATTTGTCATTTTTTAAATCAAAGACCCAAAAGTGTAAAGCCGTAGAATTGTGAAGACACAGTAAATGTGATATAAGTACACGCACCAAGGGACATTTGCGCGGCATCGCGTACAATATGCATTATTTATGACTGCAATATGTAATGGAAGCAACCGTGCTTTTGTCGTGCAACATCTGTCTCGCGCGTTAAATGTGCGCGAACCACACGGTAGTTCGCGGTACAAAGACCTCTCGCGGTACTCGGCACAGCGTGCTCTTTTGCGAGCCGTACAAAAATTATTAATCGTCGCAAATGGTGTGCAACTGATACGCGACAATGGGAGCGCCACACAACGTCGTGACTTAAACGTTCTCCAAAACGTATAACTCACACAACGCCGGCGGTCCCCGAGCGGAGGCGTGGAAAAATCGATGTACTGTTTCAACGTGTCTGCAAAAGGTAAGACGCAAACGTACGAGCCGCTTCGCGGAACGGAAAATGAATGTGGCACAGCTCGTGTAATAAAGCAAGAATTTCATTCGCATCGCCTCCGAGTCTACACGTCGCATTTATTTTCGTTTGTTTTCCTGGAACAGGAATATATCCTCTCCGGGGGGGAGGGGGAGGGGAAGAAGGGGCAGGAATTATTAAAGTAACTCTCTCCGCGATATAGAGAGACCATCTCTCTAGAGAAGTTTCACACACGACATCGCCTCCTGCGTTGTGAGTTGTGAGACCTCCGTTGAATCGGTTATACGTGAGAACTCGAGTGGCTCTCGAAATTGTCGACGTACTCGATGCTGCTCGACCCTTTTGCGCCCGTCATTCCCATGCAACGTATCGAAAGTACTTGTACAGTTAGCACTTACGAAACGGATACTGTATTCGGCAGTTCATTGAATCAAAGTGAAATCACGGTAGTCCGCCCACTCATAGACTAACACGGCCGGGGAATTCTTTCGTGCCACTAATTCCGTGTCGGCTAATTGCCCATGAACAGTCAGATTTCGGGAAAAAAAAGTCTACGATTAGAGACGACCAAACAATTGCGAAGAGAGACGAATAGCTAATTAATTTGTCCTTTCCTTATCGTCGCATCTACAATTATCGCGGCAACTTCCGTGTATATAACCCTCTACGGGAAAAAAAGTTAAAGTCCGTTCGCAGTGCGAGGTCGCGACCCCGTAAAACCAGCGTACTCGGCCGTGCATTGGCGATGCGTTTTACGTTTTACGTATCGTAACGGTGCACTCCCACGCATTCAACTAACGGCGATGTCGAAGTAATGAAGATTACGGCTCGCATACATATTAATCGACGGTCTACATGAATGATCGCGAGAGAAACTGAATGCGCAAGTATACGTTCCGCGATAAGATCATGCAATATGAATGACAACGGATTGAAAACGGAACGGGAAACGTTGGCTACTTTTTTTTGCGCGATTATACTTTCAGATCGAATCACGCAGACTGCGTTATCAAACTGGATGCCAATGCCCGTTGTGAATATATTACAGCGGTAAAATTATAACTGCATGAAAATTGATAATCTTCGATATAATGATGTTATTAACATATCTTAGATTAAATTCAAATTTCAAGCAGAGTTTCCTTCAATGCAATTTTCAATTCGAATATTGAGACATTTATCGTCACAATAATTAAGCAAATATAATAATTGTGCAAAAAGGAAGCAGTCCATGTTTTTTAAAGATTAATCGATTCTAATGCAGAGAAGGCGCGAATTAATTTACAAATTAATGCACTGAAGAAGATTCAGAATACTCTATAAATAAATGCCTGATATTTGTCTGATTTCACAGAAAGATTGCCAAACGGCGCAAAGAGTAGATTCCCAAAAAATCCGTTTGCCAAGATTCCATTTCCCGTAACGTCCAGTTCAAAGTGTTAACCGCGTGACAACGTCGTTACACACTCTTAGGATGCGCCCACGCGCGGACGCGCTCGCCCATGCAAAGAGAATTCTGCGGGGAAGTAAGATACAATTTCCACAGATCGCACGCAGGAAGAGAGAGCGACGTGTTAATGCGAGCGGGAAAGAAGAGCGCAACGCGGACGAAATCTCGTGTAACACGAGATTCGCATTTTTACGCACTTGCGACATGCGATATCTCGCAATTGCGGTGAACAACGTTACCAGAGGAGGGGAGAGGGGATTATCGGATTATGGTCAAAGTTGTTTTGCGTGTGGACAATAAAATCACATTATTATCTTCTGTAACTCTAGACACACGGGAGAGTTAATGAGATTATGGAGAAATGATAATGTTGAAACATAACATCGCAATATATTATAGTAGCAATAGTGGCGAGATGAAAATTGTAATCACTCCACGAGAGATTATTATCCTTAAAATATAATAATTTAATATTCTTTAGACATTTCGTTAATCTACAGCAAAAAAAAAGTGTAAATTGTAGTGTAATTTAAAACAACAGTAAAAAATATAGCTTAAAATAATAATTTAAAATAAAAAATAATTTTTAAACGTATACGTAGACATAAATATGATCAACGAAATTGGTTTGTTGTGATCAAACATCCGAAAGAATCTTCACATTCTTCAGTAAAGTAAAATCAAAGGATTTCTAAAGAGAGGGATTACTCCTACCAAGGAGTTGCGGTATAGAAAGCAAACGGATTGTCGTCGCTCGGTGGCGAAGGTGCGCGCTTCACGAGAAAAAGAGCGTGTCTAGTTTCGTTTTACTCTGCTTATCATGAGAAACGACGGCCGTTTATAAGACAATGCAGCCGCGAGGGTAGAGAGAGACGACCCCACCGGCGCGTAGGTGGCCTCCTTGTGGCGTCGCACGACGGTGAACACGGAACGCGGTGACAGAACGAAATGTCCGAGCCTTAAATGGCCACCTGAAACTCTCCTGCCGTTTGCCTCTTTGCGAACCGCTTGCCCATTCCCTCCGGATTTCCTCCTCCGCAACCGACGGCGACGGCGACGGCGACGGCGACGGCGACGGCGACGAGACATCGCGCCGCATATGTGTATATACGCGCGCTTTAAACGCGCGGACACAATGTCGCCGTGGGGAGAGAAAGAGAAACCCTCTCCCTTCGGTGGCATCAATTTTTCGCCTCGTCGGGACGTTCTCGAGTGACGCGATAACAAACGGTCGTCCGCCTTCGACTTTGTGCGACGAAGGTACCCAAGTGGAAACAGATATACACGAAGAGGTGATTAACACGTCGACGGGCAACCACGGATGTCGTTGTCGTGGTAGAAAATCCATTTTGCAACGTCACTCTTAAATCACGGGACGTATTATCTTCTCCCGAACATTGAAAATCGAAAAAGAAGAGGCAATTCGGACAGCGCCATTTCTCAACTTTCGCGCATCGCTGATATTCGTCAATTCGCGGATTAAAACACATTACTGTACGTACGTATCTTTAGAGTTGACGTTCGAAGAATTCCTAAACATATATGCAATCTTTGCATATACCCATATTTGTGCAATACGATTAAGCTTCCGGGTGCTTCACGTAGCGTAGCGGTCAGAGAGCCGCCCGACGCAAATGCAGCAACTTGGCAATGTAAATTCCCCGGTTCCGGTAGAATTACAGCGTTTGAGCCGTCGTTTGTAACACGACCTTGCCGGCGCGAACGCGAATGGATTCTAATGGATCCCGCTGGATTGCTTATCAGAATCCAGCGAAAACGCGCATCTACCGCATTTCTCCTAGTCGGATCGAACCAGTCCGCAAATCCCCCTCGCGCTTCTCACACCCGGCGCGTTACGAAGAGAACGTTACTCCTCGCCGAGCAAATTAACATTCGAGCGGTCACGCGCGTTACCTGAGATAAGATATTAAATAAGGAATTACGTTGAGGTGTTGAGAACCAGGATATACATGCAACTTGATTAGTAAAATTAACATATTCCGTTTGTAGCACACTTCTACTGCGACTGCTGAGAAAGAATTTGATTGCTCGACACCCCGTATATTTTCCAAGATTTCAGTTCGTTGACAATAATAATTTAAAAAGGAAAATCATTTCCCTAATAAAAAGATGATTAAATATTATTAAATGTTATCTTTTAATTCCGTAAAAAATTTTTTTATAAATTACGTTTTTTTAAATCAATCACATTAATATTCAAACTTTTAGATAAGACGCAAATGAAATAAAGTTTGCCAATGTTCTACGCGTGTCAACTGCATAACATTCGAACCAATTCTGTATTACACGACTCCAAATACCGAGGATCGTTTCGGAATTCACGTGCACTCATGTGTATGAGCGCAGTGATGGGCTCACCGCATTTCGGGGCGTAATCTTTTGTTTGTCATCTCGCAAATACATATTATTATTTGTGAGTTGCGGTACGCCGAGCCGAGCGATTCGCACGGTCCGCTCCGGGAACAATAGGAGCGATAGGGGCCCTCCTCATCGGCCAAACAATGTCAAACGTGCGATCGAGTCACGTGCACACCATCGCGATCCGATAGGGTACTCCGACGGCGCGGATTCAACCGAGTGCAACAGCCGTAACTTTTGTGTTCCGGCGCCATCCGTCTCTAGGGCCCTCCCTCGCCAAGCCGGGCCGGGCCCGGCCGAGCCAAGCCGAGCCAAGCCAAGCACAGGGGACGCAAAGCGGCAAAGCGAGCCGTTCTGCTCGTCGAACCTGAAGAATGCGTTTTTTGACGTGCCGAGAGGTGAATCGGAGGTTGACCCGGCCGGCCCCGGTCTGTCTTTCGGACGACGCGACTCATGCAAGTGGGAAGACAATGATCGATGCGTTTCTCGTATGGGAAGTAATTAGGATAGCCGGAGAATGATGGATTAAAAAACGGATGTGTGCGCGTGTCAGATAATGTCTATCTCTTGAATACATGAACATCTTTATCTCGTTAAGGATCGGCCAAAGTTTATAATATATGCATATACGATTACATGTATATTTACAAGATACACAGAGATACTATATATCTGATTATTATCTTCTCACTAATCTCTCGAGTAAAGTAGGTCACAGAGTGCCTTTCGGCTCGGGCCGAATTTCACTTCAGTATTGCACTAATACTTTTCATCTTCCCGTGATTTCTTCGATTACCACACGCTAAGCAGATTAGCCCGGACAGTAGTAAGCAAATACGTGCATTTGTCGTCGTGGTCGGTGTGACACGGTGAGCGCGCACGGAAGGGGTGGACGGGCCTACACGATGTATACCCCCCATGGAGTGGCGGTCGGTCCCGATGCTTATACACGCGAAAAATTTGCAACCGAGACAATGGCGGGGTCCGGGCACTGCGTCCCGTCTACGCGAAACACGACTGGCACGAGTTGTGTTCTGGCGCCGATCGAAAGGGGTTGGGGGATAAACGGGGGAGCCGGGGGAGATGGGAGAGACACGCGGGCGCCCCGTCCGAGATTGAAATATAACCGCGCGGCCAAATATGTATATGGGGACCATGGTGAAATTTATATGCCGGCGAGTATATACGCGTGCACACACGCGCCCATAAGTGTGCTGCGCTTAAGTGTACGCCAAATGCAGCCGGGGATATTGCAGCGACGACGCGCCGGGCAAGAAACGGGGCCCGGGCCCTGACGAGGCAAGAAACTGTTGTGAGCGAGACTAACGTGGGATAAACGAGTGGCTAATGCACGCGCGGATAGATGAATGATCGGCTCAGAAAAATCATAAGCTGCATTTTTTTTTTACGGACTACAATTGCAAGCATAACGGATAACTCGATTTACGAGAGGAATTCGATGTTAAATTTCAGTTGTAAAGACTGCTAGTTATTGTATTTTTTACATTAATTAAGTTTTCACAAGAAAATGATTTTTGTATTTTAAACTGTATATTTGTACATGAATGTTCATGATGACTTATAATAACAAAAAGCGCGAAATAAATATGAGAAATGTAAAGTTCTTTTCTTTACTAATCAAATTAATATCATCAATTAATATCTTCTCGACCAAAATGTCCTTTAAAATATAATAAGTGAAAATACGATAATTGATTTTATTTACATAAAAAAAATAAAACATAGTAAAAAGTTTAAAATTTTCACATACTCATTCACGATAAATTATGTTAAATATATTTCATCAAAAAGTCATCATAATTGTTGTCTAATCTTTTCAACACATAAGATTGCAATGAATCGTGAAGAAATGAAATTGCGCAGCATCATCTTGTCAATCGATTCACGTTGAATCTAATTTAGAACATTTTCTCTTTGAGAAGCTTAACGCAAAAATACGTTCATACTAAAGAAGCTCGAAGGCTTATATTTCAATCGTCGAATCGGAGGTCGCGTACGGAGTTGGACGGAAAGTTGGATCGTATCGATTGATAGCGATTGGCTATCGATCGATCTTCTCTAGATCGTCCACCAGATAAGCTGCGGTACCAGGCACGACAGAAGTTGGTACCAGCAGCGGTAGTTTAACGCGAAGATCGATGGTCGATTGCATTCTCGATGGCATCGAGGGGACCTCTAAATCACGCTCATCGGGATTTAGCGTGCGCAAGGACTCTCCTTGCTGCTGTTCGAGTTGTCGTACAATGGCGTTTGTTTTCCGAAAAGAGAAATGGGCGAATGACATGGCACACACACACACACATTCAATAAGAAATCGAATTTATATATGTCCGAATTTGTTAAATGATTTCTAAAAGTAACAAATTTATAAAAGATTTCACAAACTCTCCTGTTAATTATATATGTATATAAATTTTAGCATTTCATATATGTAATAAAACATGGAACATATAAGAGCAAAGTTAATGTCTAGCATTATGGTAGCATCGGGAAGCTCCGTCTTAACGTTAGAAAGTGCACACATAAATTATAGGAGAAAGGGGGGACATCGCTCTGGAGCAACTATCGGTATACCTATAAAATTATCACATCTACGAGATATGTACCGTAGGCAAACATAGTACGCGATTACAGGGATTGAGCGCGGGCGGACATATTAACATTGAATGCTGAAACGGAGCTAGGAGTCGAGTACGGTCCGCGACATGCATTAAACATCTACCATATAACCGCGCAATTCTGAATTATACATCCATGGCGAAGACAGCCGGCTTGAGTGTCCGCGGAATTGTTCCACCGCGCGGACTTGCTTCTTTGGCGATAAACCGAGGCCGTCCCCCGATGCGCGATAACGATATTCGATGCACCGCGCGAGTAAGAGAGAGCTCGCGCGCGTGGGATTTCTTACCGCGAAAGAGATTAGATCGCAGTCGCTAGGTCACAGATAATTTGAAAAACCGATTGCGCGGCACGATAGAAGTGTGTCGCGTTGCAATCGCGCGTTTTGCGCCGCGATCTTGCTTTAAGACGATCGCGACGTGCCCCGTAAAGTAATTTTGCTTTACGGTAAAATGATCTTTCAACGACTTTCAAGTATTTAAAGATAAAATGACTGCAGCTCGCGCGCGATACCTTCGTCATTTGAATTTCTTTACGAAATTTTCCATAATATACAAAAGTACAAGAACTATTCGAAAAGTTTTGCGGGAAAAAATACAGCATTAAATAAAAATCTTTCCTATAAAAAATCTTGAATGCTTCTCTTAAATTAAACATGTCATCAATAAAAGATGTGCAATTTGCTCTGAATGAAAACTTCAACATTTCTAATAAATTTCTATAAAATATTCCTGTTATAAAGAAGAATAAAATATGTGGCTGTAATTTATCATGAAAACTTTGCAGCAAGATTTTTAGATAAAGTAAAAACGATCACTGCTACGTCGACAGGTGAAAGTTTGCGGTAGCTATCCGATTTGTCGATGTCTGCTGCCGATATATGTACATTCCAACGACGTTGGAATGAAGTGGGCATATCAACGCGTGATTGTGCAGGTGCAACAAACATCCTACGTGCAGAGGCAGGCTTCTACCTGGAGATGCATCTCCGAAGTGAAAAGCGAGCAAAAGACGCTCGAGACGCCTACGGTCCCTGGCCCATCGGGCCCGGCGATCTGCCGAGAATCGGGCTTTGGACAAGACAATCGTATACGAGGAGAGAGAAAGTCCCCGTTGCACCGTGCGCGGATGCACCACGGCACGAATACGAATGGCCGGAACGAAGACCGGAGGTGCGTAAGGTAGGAATTCGCATTCCTGGCCATATTCGGCCCCCGCTCGCGTCGCCTTTCTAACTCTTTCGGGACGTCGCAACCACCGAGATGCTCCATCGTGTATTTACATTCGCGCGACGCGCTTTCGGTTGTCACTTTAACCGCCAAGTTACGCGCGGATCTTTGCGTAGAATGCTGAGATACACGAACGCGTTTCAACTGGCATTATAGCTTCGAATATATACGTAAACTGCTTAAGATAGGTCAGCGGAGTCAAAGATGCTTAAGTTTAAGCCAATATTTTTCACATTGCGATGATATCTCGCGCATTAAGAAAAAAAAGAAACATTCTTCACGTATCACAGACGAGAAAGTTTTCGTCTACTTACCTTAGATATCACGCCTGCTAAACCAGCCTGACAAGAACCCTGCCTGTGATAGCCCCAGTTCTCTAAAACGGAAACAGACAATTATATCGTCCTGTTCTTGATTGTTTCAAACGGAGACATCATATCTCGACAGTACAATTTGAATAAATTGTTTCCTATTGCGCAATCTATGATAAATCGTAGACAATTCTTTAATCGTTGATTAGAAGTCAGAAGTTGAGACAATAACATAAGCAATTTTTCTATGTTAAAAATAAAATTAATTACGTATGAGATTGAATGTTAACAAAAAAATTGAACAAAATCGCAAAATTATTATCAAAATTCATATACATATAAAAATAATGACAACAAACTTGCAATATTAATACAGTAACAATAAATCATTTTTTTTCTGACAAAGAAAAGCTGTTTTAAAATTGTCAAAAGTCTCAATAGAGGATGCCGTTTTACTGTTAGTGCATATAGATTCGCGACGATAATTTTGTGAGAATAATTCGCACAATTATTTAAAATTTATGTTGATTTACTTAATTAAAAAAAAATATATAATATTCCTTAATTAAAAAAAAAACAGATTCGGACTGGAAAGCGTATTAAACAGACGTGTATGCTCTTGGAGTTCCACGCACTTTAGGCGACTAGGAAGTGGAGTGGCATCGCAGACCGACTGCACGCACGAGCAAAAGTAGTGCGTACATATACACGCGTCATTAAACCCAGATCGATCTTCCGCCGTGACGCCTTCGCGATCCGTTTTCTCCGTCCGAACTGCCGTGACGAGTCGATAGTGCAAGCCGCACGTTGTACAACGGCGATCATGAACGTGGTTCGAGAAATGTGGCCGTCGAGTATCTACGCTCGTTAACTAGATAAGTGCAACAGCACTTTCAGATAGGCACGGACGGTAATGACGGCAGCGAGGTCGAAGGGATCGAACGGTAATTCCACCGAAATTCTTTCGGTTTGAGAATGTAAAAGGATCCCGCGCGCGTTTTTACTGCCCGTCTCCCGCGCGCGTTAAAACGAAATAGATTAATTGCCGCGCGATAACGCAAAGAACTTCGCTAAAAGGAATTCCGTGCTAGACAAAATCTAACGATATCGCACTAATAAAATTATACGCGTAGAGTGTAATGCAGGCTCCTAAAGTTAAAAGAAAAATGAGCTTACCCAAATTAAATGCCTTTGAAAGAATTAGATTGTTTCGTGAAAAACACCGTACTGGGTATATGAATAACAGAAAATTATACCGGACAATGTACGATAATTGAGTTATCTGACGGAAATGCAATTATCTGCGCGAAGATTAATGATATTCAAGCCTTTTGTTGTTATTCTCTTTTGAAGGTAGATAAAATCTTCGTACCGCGTGACGATATCCCTGTGTTCGTAACTTATCGCTATCACTAATTAAAGACCTATCGTAATATCAGCATATGTGCAATAAACGGTAAGAGCCAAAAGATAATGGAGCAATTCCGTCGACGTAATTACGATGTTATTACGATTAATCGTTGTCATTATTATCGACGAGGGTAAATCACCGCTAACTCGAAGATAAATCTAGGCAATTAACGCGAGGGTATAAATCTGTGGACATCTGGACCTAACGAGGAACGTTATACGGAAGTTACGAATCATCTGCGACCGCACGGGAAAGAATTACTTAAACGCCCGAGGAAACTCCGATTAACCTACATTAATATGTATCTTAATTAACTTTGTCTATTTCTTTTTTTTT